AGTAATTTTCTAATTCAGTATTAAGAATTAATTTATTTTTTTAATTCCTTATCATTATGTCGTCAAATACTATGTCAAATACATATTATGTCTCACAGTTATTTACATAATTTTTTTCATAATAAAATAAATAATTCTCATTATGTTATTAGTGTTAGGTATTACCTAGTTTGTCAGGCAAAACGATAAATTTGATAAACCTTGATCTCAATCCTTTAAATTATTTTTTATGATGTGGAGTTCTCCTTATTTTTATTATTTTGATCTTTTACTTGATTTGCTACAAAAAATTTATCACAAAACGTGATCTACCACTATGATCGCATTTTAGTCTACAATATTTTTTTCTTGTCTTTTTTTTAACTTAATTCTGGTCAAAATAGAAAATTAAGTTGACAAAACCGAAAAACAAAGACAGGAGCAATTCGCAATGTTGCCATTCAAATTTCAAAGTTAGTTTGATCAAAAATTTCATTATATTTATAAAATGTTTACAATTCTTTTTATTAAACGGTACTATTTATAAACTCAAACAAAATCTTTTATGTTTGATGAAACGTGCGAAAGATAAGTCTTATCAATACAATGCGTATTGTGTTATTGGAGATGTATGTAGATACAATATCTATTGTGTTAATAACATCAGAAATTTTTTAATTCCTTTGATAAAGCAAATCAATCATAACAAGATGAAAATAATTAACGAAATAAGAAATAAAAAAAAAATAAAAAATAAAAAATAAAAATAAATTCATTAATACTCATACTCGTATTAGTAGAAACAAAAACTCTGTGATTGTTTTTTTTATTATGAAAGTTATATAAGACATTTATCTAAATTGATTTTTTAATTTTTGGTTTTTAATATTACCAAAAACTAGAGAAGTGGAAATGCTATTACTTTTGCAATTACGTTGGCAACATTGCAAAGCATAAAAAAGTATTATTCAACGTTGCCAACTTAACTTCAAAGCCACGGGCAACTCAATCAGAAATTTCATTGAACGCATGAGACAATAGTAAATATAATCAATGCAGATTGTCCTTATTTTGTATTTTCAAGATGCGCGAATTTTTTTAACATTAATATTAAGAGCAGAAACTTATAATGTACGTGCGAAAGATTAGATAATTTCTATAGTTATCATTGTTATAATAAGAAAAGACTTTATTATTATTTTTGTTACTATATCTGATTAAATCTTAAATTTTAATGGTAATATCACATTATTACATAAATGTGTCATAACCTAAAATAGCGCCATCTATTGGATTTGAAACCGCTTACGCACCAAAAACCTTAACATTAGACAACCAAAGCCTCAATAACACCATTATAATCGTAGATATAAATCTTGCAACTGTGTTGGGTTCATTAAATGGTAATAAAAGTAAAAATTGATAAAAAAATCAATCTTTTTCCCCCAAATTTCAACATACCTGAAACGTATCCCTTCACCCTTGAAGCACTGTGGGTCAGAAATAGTCTCTAGGTCCGGTCGCAAGCCCATTATTCTCTCATTAATCATGTTTCTGAAAAAAATCATTAAAATTTAAAATTGAGATCTTGAGGTTATGGTTTTGCTACTCACAATAGTGTCTTAAAACTATTCATCTTGAAGTTTGAGCACTTGACTAAATATGGCACTTATTTAAACAAAAACTAGACTTAATTACGGCGTCAAAAACATAAAAAAAATATATTTATATTTATAAAATTTATTTTGAATAAACAATGGTGTCACCATTAGAAAAACCTGTAATACCGACTAAGTAGTTTAATTGTTTGTTTCTTAATTAATTTTTTGACTACTTACTTGAACCAAAATACCCTCAACTAATGAGACCAACATAATTCGTATAACTAAATATGTATTTAAAAAATTAATAGTGTGATTAGTGCGTCGTTGGCGCCAGCATTACAGCGGCCTATAATATCGACATGATTTAAATTTTTGTTTTATTTTTTAATTAATTCGAATTATTTTTGTGCAATAATCTTAATTGATTTTAATATTTATGTTTCGTAGTCCCAATAGTACGTCTATTATTTGTGTTTGTGACTCGGCTAATTAATTTTTTAAATCGAGGTTATGTATTAGCAAGCTTATCACTTTTTGGCTTATCACAATTCAAATTTATTATTTCATTTGGAATAAATTACGATTTTGTGCCTTTTTTGGGCAAGTAATTACGCCGGGCCAGGGCGGGCCCAAATCCCAGTAATAAAAATATTAATTAACCTCGTTTTGTCACGAGTTTTGAAATGGTGTTAAAAAATTGCAAAACGACAAAATGAGGGGTCCCCGAATAAAAAAAACCATAACAATTGACAGTAATCGTCCTTCAATTGACACAAAACAACTCTAACCTAAGATCGGTTCGAAAAACGATTTATCCTCCCACAAGGTCTGTAATCAAATGACCCCAAGTAGTGTAGATGAAAAACACCGTGTAAAATCATCATAATTGTGATAAAGTTTTGTTTCTGATAATGTGATAAGGCGTTACGTCATTTTAAATGTCATTGTCAATTTTGGTGGACAGGACCGGTCCGGGATATTTTCAGGCCCTAATTATGCCGTGTCATTCAATGACCAGGGTCACCTTTGGCCACCTCGCAGATTTACCACAAAAACCTAAAGTGATTACTAAAACAAACTTGATAATAAATTACGAAAAAGTGTCAGTGGTGTGGAAATGGTGACCTTGGGGGGGAATCACTAAACTTGATTCGCTTCAGTTTGCTATTTCGCACCGATTCGATCACACCTCAAGGTTTAGCGACTCTTAATTAATTTCTTTAAAGTGTTTGTAGAAAAAACAGTGTATAACATCGTATAAATTTTAATTTGATAAGAGTTATCGAGCCAGACAACAATGAAGCAAATTGCACCAATTACGATTTAATTGTTCCTTAAACCGTCTCAGAGTGGGGCTACTTATCACGTATTAATAAAAATTAGTGTGATTAGCGCACATTTGTATCTTTTTCAAGTGTGCCACGCTATTTGAAGATAAAACTATCGAAATATCGGTCAGTCATCGCCTGCTCGCCGGAATGTGTGAACCTCCACCATGAAGAAAGACATTACGGACCTGAACGGGTAAGTCCCGAAACGGCCAATCACGCAACGCCATCTGTCGCTCGCTCCAGGCGCAAGCCGAGTCATTGAACGACCACAAAATTACATAATCGGTGAACCAAATAAAAGAAAACATCTTATCAATCACATGTTGCTCTTTCTTATCAAAAATACTTTCAACTCGTTAAATTGAGACTAGTCGGCTGTGATATGGGCGACGAGAAACGACCGCTAGTGTTGCGCAAAACTTACCGTTATGGCAGGTACGGACCTGTGCCCGATTTATTAATATACAGGGTGTTTCATGATTTCAGTGTGGTGGAAAATGGAATGTCGGCTGGGTTGAGTGTCAGAAGGCCGGTTTACCAACTCGAGGATTTGAACAGAGACACCGACTATGAAACACCGCACACTACATGTAATTTTATAAATTACGGGTAATTATAGGGAATTATTAATAATTATGTTCAGTTGCCCAGGATTGTGGGCGCAAATTCCGGGCTTGCCGACCATTTACTTGTCTCTACTACTCGATTCCGGTGCTCAAATGGCTCCCGAAGTACAGTTGCAAGAAAAACATCTTTGGGGATATTATAAGTGGGATCACGGTCGCCATCATGCACATACCGCAGGTATTTATCAGCGAGGGGGCTTATCAGTGCTTGTTAACTTCACTTACCTGTCTTATTTGTTTGTTTTATTAGTTTTGTGATAACAAATGCGTAAAAATGTGCTACTAGGAACGTGTTAAAGTTCATTGATAATGACATTTTATGAATAACAAATATGTTTTTTGTTAATTGATAAACGAGGATTTGGAACAAAACAAATATTTGGGGCACTTTTTTGTTGTTTGGGTTCTCTAATTTTCTATTTATTTAACTGAGATGAAGACAAACAATTAATTATTGGTCCTTCTAATTTGATATTTGAGAATCAAGGTTGCCAAACTACGATTTCAAAGACGCCAACTTGATGATTACAATCATTTACAGTCACCCTGTATATAAAAGTTTTGATTAATTTATGCCTAATTATCTGTTCATAGTTAATAAAATAGCTGACTCGACGTATGCAAATAAACTAATTGTTGTTTCACGTTTTTTACATTTGTAAATTGTTGTAAAATGTGACAAAAAGGTCAATAGATTAAAATTAATTAATGATAGTTGCTATGAGGTGAAAAATGATAAATTGAGAGTTCATCAACTCAAATGTAAAACTTTTGACATTTGTTGTTTTTTAAGGTTTGAAACTGAAATAAATGTTTGTTAAATAATCATTTTGATCGAGAAAAGAATTTCTTAACATTGATTATTTTCTGCCACATTATTTTCCAATTAAAAATACACCGCTAGAAAAAGATGGAACTATTTTTTCTCATTTGTGAACGTAGTTTGTCTCTTTTTACCGATGTACTTCTCAGATTTACCAAACTATAATTATCAATAATTGGACTTTGATGTATTTTTTGGAAAATTTTGAAGTTTATTGTGTGTTTCCAGTTCAGCCATTGCAAAAACTCAGTTTTAATTACTATGTAATGTTTTTTGTTGCAATTATTGTGTTTCTCAGTAATAAATAATTAATAATATTGACTTGCATATTATAACGGTTTTTAACATTATTTCCGATTATGGCTTTGGATAATAATTTATTAATTAGAAAATCACGAGTTTTTATCAAAGAGGTTTGCGACTTGGCTATTTTACTCAGAATACCGTGTTACATAGATATGGCAACAGCGTTTCAAAGTTTGACATTTGTTTTCCACATACTTTCTTTAAATTCAAATTCACTATAGTTTTTATTGTCAGTCACTACAGTAGAGGTCGGAAAATACAGGGTGTTCCAATGAAAACGAGCCAGTCCGAATATCTCAGAAACTAAAAAGACTGCAAAAACGCCGAAATAGGTCAATTTTGTTTTCGAGGGGGACATTTTTTGACGTTATTTTTAAAGCACCCCCAGTTTAACCCCCACGCACCCCAACTTTAAAAATTTAAATGGCACTACCCCACTTGTGGCACATCAAATGAAAGCTATTTTAGCAAGCTTTTCAAACCTTTTTACCAGAATTAAATTAGATCATCCATTTATGAGATACAGGGGGTTCTAATAAAAACGAACCAGAAAGAATTTGCAAAAAAAACGAAACAGGTTAATTTTGTTTCTAAAGGGACATTTTTACGCAATTTTAAAACCACCAACCACTAGTGATGCAAAAAATTAAAACACTTTTAAAATGCTCTTTAAAAGCTTTTTTCCAAAATGAATTTCGATACATAAGATATCGGCAAAAAAAACCTAATCTTTTAGCAGTCAGGACGTACAAAGGAACTTAAGAACTATACTGCTATTTTTTAGATACTTACATTAATAATTTTTTTAATTTTATTTATAAGAAACTTTATTACCCCTTGTCCTTTAGTACGATTATTTTGACAATAAAATAAGGCAATAAAAATAAGTTTCTTACAGCTCCAATACTACTTAGTAAGTTTCTTGTAATTTTTTTAACAGTTTTTGATAGAAGTAATTACTAATTAGAAACATTATCTTTTGCGAATATCTTATGAATAGATAATCCCACTCAACTTTAGAAAAGAGGTTCAAAGAACATTTTAAAAACACTTTTATTTGATCTGTCGCAAGTGAGTCGGTGTCATTTGAAATTCAAATTGAGGTAGAAAAAGTTAGAGAGTTAGTGGGGGTGCTTTTAAAATTGTGTCAAAAATGTCTTTTTTACAAACAAAATTAACCTGTTCCGTTTTTTTTTGCAAATTCTTTCTAGTTCGTTTTTATTAGAACACCTTGTATCACATGAATGGATGGTCTGATTCAATTTTGGTAAAAAGTTTTGAAAAGCTTGTTGAAATAGCTTTCATTTGGTGTACCACAAGTAGGGTAGTGCTATTTCAATTTTTAAAGTTGAGGTGTGTGGGGGTTAGGGGGTTACTGGGGGTGCATTAAAAATAACGTCAAAAAATGTCCCCCTCAGAAACAAAATTGACCTGTTTCGGCGTTTTTGCAAAGTCTTTTTAGTTTCGGAGATATTCGGGGTGGCTCATTTTCATTGGAACACATTGTATCCCTTGGTCGGGAAGTAATTCAAGTAAGACTACCGCGTGGACTCCAATCTCGAGGTAATGACATATTTTCCAACTCGATTGTAATATACTATTGAAACTGATAACAATTAAGTACATTTTTATTGTAATAAAATAATAATAATAATAATTTTGAGTATTTTTCCCCAGGGTATGGCTTACGGCCTCCTCGGAAACGTCCCCCCCGTCGTGGGCATCTACATGGCCTTCTTCCCCGTTCTCATCTACTTCATTTTTGGCACATCTCGTCACGTCTCGATAGGTTAAACTCGTTATTTTTTCTACAACCACAAACCTTCAAAAAATTTTTTTTTCTAATTCAGGTACCTTTGCCATCGTTTGTCTAATGACCGGTAAAGTGGTCAACCAATACAGCAGTATTGAAATCCTCCAAAACGGCACTGTAGTCACCACCCCATCCCCCAACCCCGAAATGCCACTCTACACCAATGTCGAAGTTGCGACAACAGTCACATTCGCAGTAGCCATGATCCAACTAGTGATGTATTTTCTCCGACTTGGAGTCGTCTCGACTCTACTTAGTGAAACTCTAGTGAACGGTTTCACGTGTGCTTCGGCTTTCCACGTGGTCTCATCACAAATCAAAGATCTGTTCGGGATTCCGATTAAGAAGCGACGAGGCAATTTCGGCTTCCCTTTGACGATTTATGACTCGATTTTCGCCTTGTCAAAGGCCAATCCCTACGCCTGTGGCATGACGGCGGTCTCCTGCGTCCTCCTCATTCTCAATAACGAAGTTTTGAAGGTGATTATTAAAAATATTTTATTAAAAAATAGTCAGAAATGAATTTTTTTAGCCCTTTTTGGCCAAGAAGACGAAAATTCCGTTTCCAATCGAGTTGTTGGCGGTGGTTTTGGGTACAGCCTCCAGCTATTTCTTCGAGTTGGACACGAAGTATGACATTTCGGTGGTGGGGCATATTCCGACAGGGTTTCCGGCCCCCACACCCCCGGCTTTTGCCCTCATGCCGGATATTTTAGTCGATGCGTTTGTCATAACGATGGTTTCGTACACAGTAACCATGTCCATGGCCTTGATTTTTGCAAGAAAGCTCTTCTACGAGGTGGATTCCAACCAGGAGTTGCTCGCCTTGGTGAGTGAAAGAAATACAAAAAAAAATTGTAAGAATTGTGCGAAAACAAGAACACCTTGTGTTTTTTTAACCACACACCGAATTTTCGTGAAATTCAGACACAAATGCAATTTGGGTAAAAATAAAATGTTTTGGAAGCAAATATTTTTTTAATTAGAATTTAAATAAGTTTGCGATTTTTAAAATTTAGATATTGTTTAAACCGGTATTAGTTTTGATCTTTTGCAACACGATGTTTTAAAAAACTCTCGATTGACATTTTTTAAATTTAAACATTTCTTCAACAACATTTTAAATGTTTTTTTGCAAGTCTTGAGATGTTTTAAGCCGGAATTTTTTGACATTTTCTTAGCCTCCCCAACTGTCTTTTGTAACACGATGTTTTGAAAAGTCTCAATTTAGATTTCTTAAATTTGAGTATTTCTATTAAAAAAAAATAAACGTTTTTTTTTTTGCAAATCTAGATATTGTTTAAACCGATATTTCTAGATACTTCCTTAGTCTCCCCCACTGTCTTTTGCAAC